TTTCCTTACTTCCTAAAACCCTCTCGTGTACACTGATCATGCTACTTTAGCACTTGCTAGCATCCCGACCAAATAAACACCCACACCTCTTATAGAGTACATTGTGAGAGAATAACATTGACTTGATATGGCATCACACTCATTGTAAAGCAAAAAAAAAAATTATAATAATAATAAAAGAAGTCCAAGACAAGAAACTATAACTGAGAGAGAGAGAAAGAGAGAGATCTGAGGTACAAAGTACAAGGGCAACGAACATAATGGAAAAAAATCCAATGGCCCGGTGATTTGCTGGGGGTTGAAGAGTTGGCCAGCAGTAAGAACGAAAACCAATTTCAGAACAAAACAAAACAAAACAAAACTTTTTTTTTTTTTTTAAGGACAGGCACCTGTCAAAATACATTGGATACTGTAATGACTACAGTCAGTAAGGCACTTTTTTCCCCAAAGTAGGCTGCGGGTGAAGGAGTAAATGTGGTAGCTACAGCATGCATACATACGTTTGCTGATGGCTTCTCGAAACCTGAGCCAAGCATCGGGTCCAATAACCCAGCCAAGTCTAAAGGCAGAGAGCACACAAATGCAGGGGAATCATTCTGGCAGAAAGGACCGTTCTGGGTTGTTTAGACTCCAGAATCATGAAAAGCCACGTGGTCTGAGGAAGCCATCAACATCCTCTGGAATCTCTCTGCCCTATTTTGTACACATGGACAACTGCAGGGACAGTTCTCGACGGCTCCGAGCCCACCCAATGGAAGCCGGCACTTGTCCTGGAGCTGCAGAGCGGTGGTTGGCTTAAGGGGATTTTACCGTCTCAGCACTAATTTCCCTTTTAAAGCTATTCTCAGGGTTGGACTGTCTCAAAGATAAACAAAGAGGAATCCTTTTGGCTTAGAAGCCAGCTGGCTTACTCACACTTCCTCCCCACTTCTACCTCCCATCCCCACACTACCAATATTATCTTCTTGAACTAGAAAATCATTATTTACATGATATAAGGTGCAAGTCTATTTCTTCTCCCAGCCCTGCCCGGTGGCCCATGGAGAGTAAATTCCCCTGCCCTCTTTGAGAAAGTCATGCAATCCTGCCTAATGTTCTCGACCTGTCTGTCCCAGAGGCCCCGGGCCTGTGTGGAAGGCTGAGGAGGCGCCAGCTTCCCGTCCAAGAGCCCCTCCTGCTAGCCGGGGGCTGCTTCCTCCTCCAGCCTGGTCACTTAAGCCCCTGCTGGAGGGTGGTCTCCGAGCCAGGCGTGCCCCAACCTGGCAGGGAAGAGCCTCAGTCTAGAACCTCTGGAACAGAGCACGCAGACCGAAAGGGAGCTGGCTGTGAGACGTGGTGGGCTCTTCAGTGGGGGGCTGGGCAGTTCCAGAAGAAACTCTCTTCTAGAGAAGCCCATTCCCCAGGAGCCCTCCTATCAGCGCATGGGGGACCTAGTGCTGAGGGTGCTGTCCCCGCTGCTGCCACAGGCTTCTTGACTGTTAGGAACCCGCACGGCGTTTTGTCATGCGTAGGCATATATTTTTGGCATACTAGGATTATCCCCCCTAGGATTTGGCCAAAATAGGGGAAGGAACAAAATTTGGCAAATTAGGGGAACAACTCAGGCCCCCACTGGTGGAATGAATAAAAACACAGAGAGAGGAGGAGGTAAGGAAGAGCTAGAAAGACAACAGGATAGAAAGAGACCAGAATAGGCCTGAAACCCCTTTAGTGGGAGGTTGAGAAAGAGAAAAAAAAATCCAGGGGAGAAGCGAACTCCCCCGGCACCAAAAAAAAAAAAAAAAAAAACCCAAAACCAAACAAAAAAAACCCTACCAAGGAAACCCAGCTCCAAGGGGAGGGTATGAGCCACTTTAACAAATCCAGGGTTTCTCCTTCCATTTGAGGGGGCAGGCAGAAAAGCCAAACAACCTAGCACCTTCCCCCAGTGACCCCTCACTCCCGTCACACTAGGCCCTGAGGACAGGACAGGAAGGAGAAAAGCTGGACAGCCCCAAGGGTACCCGAGGCTCCGGGACAGGGGAAGTTCCAGACTGCAGGGAGAGTCTGTTGGCCTGTTCCCTTCCTTCTTTGTCAGGTTCTGTCATTTGCTGCTTCTGTTTGAGCTTAAGGGCTGGTCACCATGAAATGACCTTGCTTTCCCTTTAGGCTCCGAGATGCCAAGGAGAGACCCTGCCTTCTTCCAGCCAATGGGCTGCCCCAGGAGAGTGACCTGTGCAAGGTGGGCCCTTAGAAAAACATGGCTGCTCAGCTTTCCTCTCCAAAACTTCAGAATTCACAACCCATCCACTGCCCCAACAGAAATTCCCTAGAACCTTAGGGTCATGCTAACTCACCAAGTCCTGAACACTTTTAACCACACTTCGAGAGAGACCGACTCATCTGGAACGCATCTCTGCAGGTAAGTGGCCTCTCCACCTCCCTTCGACTACCATTCAGTACACTTCTCACCTATTTTTCCAACCATGCCAATTCAATGCGATTTAAAACCTGAAAACTCTTTTAGCACCGCTTGCCAGGGGGTCTGGCAATGCGGGGCGTGCGCCTGCCGTGGGCTGAGGCAGGGAGCAGGCACCCCCACAAAGCTGCATCCTGCAGATGCACAGACACATGATTCAGACCTAGAACTTCTAGAGATTCTAACACTCCTAAAAACTGCTGAGATTATGCTAAACTGGGGATGCCCATGTCAGGGAAGGAAAAAGATAGAGGGCAAACTTTCAAGATGGAAGGCCCCTAAGCACATGAAAGCAGATGAAAGCTTCGGGAAGGCCTGCAAGATGAGGACCTCGAAATTGCCTGCTGGAATGCTTTTTCGTCTGTCTCCTGATACCTGACTTCCTAGTCCATTGCATAAATGTTTGTGCTGAATGTCTGCCTTGGGGGGGATGGGGTGGGGAATCCCTTGGTTCATTTGTATTTTTTCCATCATGAGGAGGATACCAGAGTCAAAATGGAAGCCTGATGACCTTGCTGACTGGAAAGGTCCCTGGGTAAGAGACCCGGGGGCCAAATCCACCCTGCCTTCCACCAGAGAGAGGCCTTCATTCAGCCTCCTCCCTGCCATCCCCGTTCCCACACCGATGGGCTCCCAAGCAGAAACTGTTCGACTGTGAGGTATTATGAAAACAAAAATGTGAATCATTTTCTTTTGTAGCTATTGATTTTATCCAGTAAACCTGAGGTAAAGAATACTCTGTCTTTGAAGAATGCTGATCAAGAGGAAAAAAAAAAAACAAAACCCAAAATGAAAAAAAAAAAAAAAAACAAAACCAAAAACCAGAAAAAAAATCACCATGAATATGCTACCGGAAAAAAAACAAACTATGGAAGGGCTTGTCCAGTACGAAGAACTCATATCTCAACCATCCACTTCAGGACTTGGAATTTAAGCAGTAAAATAATATATTATAAAAATGTTTATAAAATAGCAGCACACTCTGTGAAAACATTACAGCTAGGTACTGTTAATGTGAATAAGGATGAATGATCTTAGCTTCTTAGCAGCGCAAAAAAAAAAAAACAAAAAACTGAACACAATAAAATGAAAAATAAGAGACCCTTAGATTTTTCTCCATCTTCCACCATCCTACTACGAAACAAGGCAGATTCTGTGTCTAAAATAATTCTTCCAAGAAGCCCTGTTCTGATTTGTTTTTTACTTACAAAAGGCAAATATTTCAACAAATAGCTTCATTACCTGTCAATTATAATTGTGCAAAAAAAAAAAAAAAAGTTGTTGCTCCAACCTCTTTTCTAACTGAATGCCTCTAAGAAGTGGAGAGGGAAAAAAATTCAAGTACGCTGAACACAACTTTGCAATGAAATGAACAAAAAACGGAAAAGGGAACAAAATGCCACACTCTGAGGATGTTCAGCTGTCTGTTTTTGCACCAGCAATAACTTTTCTTTCCATGTCCAAAGGAGAAGTATATATGGTGGGAATTAAGATCCTTCCGTGTCATTGAAATGGTAACAGATCTTTCGTTTTGAGGCTTTTCTGAGGAATGTTGTAATGGGGAATGTAAGCAGAAAGGGGTGTCTCTCGAGTCCTGGTTAGAGACCCCAGAACTATGTACCAGAAAATGTCAGCTACCAGAAGTGGATAGTTACCAAGCAAGGGGACAAGGGGTAGGAGCACAGGAAAAGGGAGGAGTCTATTCAGCATGATTTGCATAAACCATCCCATCTATCCCTCGGGAACAATTTTTCAAAGTGCTTTTCGAATGGAATGGTTTATAACAATGCTATCCTGTGGGCCAGATATACCAATCAGCACCAAAAAAAATTAAGTTTACTCATCAGGGATGCCAAGGTCACATCACTCTCTTTAACACCCAAAGAGAAAAGATTCCATTCCAGATCCCACACCCTTGGTCTCCATCTGCCTCTGTTCATTTGAGTTTTGGTGATGGCGCATTGCTAAATCGCCCCTTTAGATACAAGTATGGTGATGCCTGCAATGAACCACGTTTGGAAGGAGAAGCAACATGTCAAAAAATATGAAAACCCAGGATCCAATCACCTGTGTCCAACTGGCAATATAAAACATCTTTTTTTTTTTTTTTAAGGTAGCAGCTACTGTAGACAAGCGAGAGTTCTTAATTAACAGAGGTGCAGCAATGCTCCTGACTTAGAACAAGTGGGTGGCTGGGAGCAAAGGGGCTTCTACATCCAAATGGTTCAATCGCGCTGAGAGATTGTTTTGTACTATCCTCCCCATCGTGTCCCTCCTCATTTCTAATTCCTTCTCGAGTTCATTGCTTTGCAATCTGATCATGCCATAAATGGCATACGCAGTCCCTTGAAATTATCCTAAAAGGGGTGTATGTGCTAATTCGTAACATGAAAAAAAAAAAAGTCTCCTCTAATTTGTTCCCATATTGCAGACGGACGTTTTCTCTAGCTACTCTGCAGTTTGCTGTAAGCATTTCACTATTACTTTCAACATCATCAAACAATAACTGTTCGCATATACAAGGGATTCCCTTCTGTTGTACTTCAAATAGGCACCAAATGCTTTTAATGATTCCATTTTTATAGGACCTTTTTCTCTCACTTCTAAAAGATATTTCCATATGATCTAGGTGGGGGCAGAATTTTTTTTTTTAAGTTGCATCCTAAAACATAAAGAACATAACATAACCAGAGAGAAGGAGAGAACAGATTGGAACGCATCTCTCCCTTCGGCCCGAGTGACCACCTCACAGGTCGATTTCCCGCACGTCTGTGGGGGTGCTGGCTTGGTCCAGTTCATCCTCGGACTTGGATCCATCACCCTGGTCCTGGCGGAACTGCTGCAGGCTGTTGAGCAGCACCACCTCAATCTGCTCCTGGCAGGCTTTGAGGCAATCCTGGAAGGAGAACAGTCCACACCAGACTGGTTAGCAAGACCAGCGGGGCACAGAGCATCTCACGTAGAAAACATACACAATGCAAGTGTTGCATGATCTGTCATGTGCCTGAAGGGCCAGGGAGCCTGGAGGCAACCCCTGGGGTCGGAGGCCGGCGGCATCAGCATCACCCAAGAGTGTGCAGGAAATGCAACTCTCAGCCCACTCCGGACTGAGCTAACTAACCCATATCTGCAGTTTAGCAGAAGCACAGGTGATTCGGTGGCACATGGGACTCAGAAGAACTGGCTCAGAGCATGAGCCGTTTATGCAGGGCCTTGTGACCAAGGGGTCAGTTGGATGCTTTCTGCTTGGGGAAGTTGCTCTTCTCTCTCACAGAAAAAAGGGGAAGCTCAAGTTACAGCAGCAGATAGAGCACCTTGGGAACAGAAGAGCACGGACTTCGGTACTGACCCTCATACAAACTCTGTAAACACTTAAAAACCGAAACACCTCTCCATTTTTGCTTATTTACCATTTGAATGCTCATCAAAAAATACAATACCGTGTTTACACAAATTCTGGACACGTGAGCTGTCCAATTGGAGGGAGAGCAAAAATGGTAACAGTCTCAACTTGGTAGGGGAAATTCAGAGTGTTTGCCCCAGGCAGAGGGCTTCTGTTAGTGAGGTGACCAGGAACAATGATGACAGTTCATGGGTTCACTCGGGAGAGACAGCGGTTCCTACTGGCAAGTGGAGAGTGTGAGCTGAAGAAACTGCTCTTAGTGGCTAGTCCTCAGCCTGCCTTTCTTGCAACATGTCCCCTGGGGCTCATAGGCAACACATTTCACTGTGCAATTTTTCAATGGGCCCAGCACAAAGGCATTATCTTTCTTTTCCAAAGATTCGAAACCAGTTGGAGTTAACTACTCTGGAAGAGTTTCCATACCCCTATTTCTTCCCTTTCCCGCCTCTGGTCCATTCCACATCCCAAGTCACAGCTTTGTAGGAAGATTAAGTTTAGGAGCAACAGCTCCCCAACAGGCAGACCCGGAACACCATGTGAATGCAAGAAGGATGAAGCAGGAGGGACAGGCTCGCAACCCACCATGCTCCTGGGCAGTTACTACCTGCTCTGGTGTCAGTATCCCCACTGGAAAAGCAAGGACAATGACATACTCAGAGTCAAGATTGACTGAGATACTGCAGTGAAGTGAAAAGTCCAACTGATGATCATTATTGATCATGAATAACAATAAATCAGGTCCTGAAATCTGAAAGAATTCTTTAGGTTGATTTACAATGAGGTACAAATTAGCATTTGCTCAGGACTAATGAAGGGGACCCCGAGTGTCCAGCAATGAATTGGGAACCAGAGGGACAAGGCCAGTCTGCAGAGTTCTCTGTGCCACCCCAACAAGCTGGGGAGTTGAACTGGCCACTGAGGGCCACTTACACCTCAGATTTCCTGGGCCATCTCAGCATTTCTCAACACTTCCTGTGCCACTGCCATCTCCTGGCCCCAGAGCTTTACTGTCTTCCCCTCTAACAGGTGATTAGTAATGTCATTCCTGTAATGACATTATAGTAATGACTGCTCATTCCTCACTCTTAAAAAAAAGATGATGACTAAAACAGTTACCCCAGAAATGGGGGATCCTAAGCCCCTTCCCTTTCCCTGCTCTCTTCTGGATTCACCTTGTGATACAGCAGGGAGTTCATGCTCTTTGGAGCAGTAACTTCTCTAGAACATTCTGTGGAGTCTCTGCCTACTCTCCTTCAGGCTCCCCTTCTTTGCAACTCAACCATTCAACACAAGTTTCAACTGTGTGGAGCCCTCATTCCTAGCTGGATGAAAAGCTTCTGGGAAGCCGAGAGCCTGTCTTGCATAAATCATGTTGAATCTTCTACTCCCAGACGGTGGAAGAGAGAGATCAGCACCCCATCCGTGAGAGCACACTCTCTGCACGTTAGCCCCCTAGTTTGGATTGGCACTGCCAGGAACCTCATTGGGCTTCCAAGGAGCGTGTGAATATTCCATGAGCTGATGGAAGGAAAGGGAAGAAGATAATGTGTAGTGGGGACCACCTGCAGCCAGACCCGCTGACCCCACACAGCACGCTTTGCCCAAGGAGCTCCAGAGCAACAAGGCAGGACGGTCTCAGGGCCTAACTGGAGGGATGCAGTGAGCTGAAGGCAGGAGGAGCACAGCCTTCAACCCCCTGAGGCTGCTGTGCCAGGAGGTCAAGCTGAGAGAAGGAAGGTGCAGGGAAACAAGATGGCTGGAGAGGAAGGGAGGCTAAGAAAAAGAACAGATTTAGGAAACGATCCACAGGTCCTGACAGAATTTGAGAAAGTGTAAGTCTTCTGGCCTTTTGGTGCTCAAACAGCCAAACACCCTCATCTCACAGCTGAGGAACGGAACTGAAGGCTGGTGTGCCCCCCAATGAGGGCTCCACACAGTTCAAAGCTCAGCCTGGCCTTGAAAGGGCAAGCCTCCTATTCCAAAACTCTCTTCCCTGTGTACCTCTGCTTCTCTGCAAAAGGGGAACAAAGCCCACGTGGCAGGGAGAACCCCACAAGGCCTGCCTTTAAAAGAAGCTACATGCGTGTGAAGCCCAGCAGCCTCGGGACCCCTGCTTCCCGGCGGCCTCCAAGAGCACCCGCCATTGTGTCACGATGCCCCACATTAAGCTGATTAAAAGGAGCGCCATAAAGCTCGTCTATCAGCCCGGACAGGTGGCGCTCCGCAGTGCTGGAGGTCGGGCAAGCCTCCAAGGGCCAGGACGATGGGCCCCGCCCCTGCCTGCAGCCCCCCAGGCCCAGGGCCTAACAGGGTGTTTGTGATCTCCAGCTCTTTCCACAGGCCCCCGACTTCCTCTGCTGGCTGGCTCCAGCCCCGCGCCCTGCACCCTCCTCGCCGCCAAGAATGGGCCGACGGAACTCCTACCACCAGCCCCAGTGTAACTGCATCACCCATTGTCACCACACACGCACTGCACTCAACAGGGGGACAAAGGGCTGAATGAGCCCCAGACCCGCAGCCAACTCAGGCAGAGACAACTTAGGAAACTATCTCATTCTCTCTTTCTTCACAGGCTGTTTGGCTTATTTCCTTGCATACCAAATGAGGCCCACAGAAAAAATAAGGCAGGAGAGGGCGGCATCCGCCTCAGATTCTATTTCTTCCCCTCCCCACCCCCAGCTTGCCTTCCAGAAACCTCACAGGATTCCCAACCACACATAGGCCCCGTGGATACATAGTCTGCAAGGGATAGTCTCAGTCATCCAGGGGCCTCTAGAATGAGGGGGACAGTGACACAATGCTGGGGGCCCCGGGAAGAGCATCAGTCAAAATGAAGACACCGCTAGGCACTGTGGGTTCTCCTGGGATAGCTCAAGGACAACCCAGCCACAAAGTGCCAGGATGAGCCTCAGGACGGGCAGTCCTGGAGTCTTCTCTCTGAGTCTTCCCCAGCACAGAACTGCAGGGACCTTAGGGTGAAGAGCCAGCGCTTTCCTACTGCCACTCATCAGCGGCCCCAGAGCCAGAAGGATAGACAAAATATTTAGAGAAGAGAGCTGGGTAGGCAAGGATGCACCCAAGGCCAGATGACCGGAGCCTGGATCTGTTGTGCTGTCTTCCAGGCACTCCCTAAAGTCTCCATGGTCTGTGAGCCTCAGGCCACTTTTGCATTAGTGAGTCAGCAAACTGTGAGTCATGTGAAAGTTAAGTGACTCGCTCCAAGGTAAATTCAGGTGAGACTCAGGAGACCATGACGTGGAACCAATGTCAAGAAACAGTGAGCCTGTCAGAGAGACACAGGGAGGCCACAATGGAAACCCCATCTTGAGACCTATCGGCCTACTTCCCCACACCCACGCCACTTGGTCCCTCATTCCTTGCTCCTTCCCTCCCTCTCTTCAGCCAGGGGCTCTGGATAAAGAGCTGAGTAAAAGTTGGGTCTTGTTCAAAAGGTTCTATAGACAAGTGATCAGTGAGATAACTGTTGGCACAGGGCATGGGCTGAGTGTCGAGGGGACCGGAGAGGAACCCCGATTCTTCCAGGGGAAACAGGAGACTGGATCCGTCCTCTCCAACTCGCCCTTGGCAACAGGAGCCCCGATAGACGCTCCCCCATCGCCAGACCTGCCTCTTTGGCTGGTGTCTGTTTTTAGCAACACTTACAAGTGGAAGGAAAAAGGACTTAAAATACACCACCCTCTGAGACTTTTATTCCCTGTAAAACTGTCAGGCTTCTCACTCAGCTTTCTCTTTGGAATGAGGCGTTCCGGTTTATTTTGGCAACCAGAGGGAGCAACAAAGAGCAACTTTCTCAGAGTCGCCTGGGTCCTCCTATCAGAGCTGCCTGTTGCTGGCCTGCACGCTATGGAAACTTCTGTCTCCATGCAGCCAAGGGGACCCTCTTTCGAGTCTGTTCCCTGACCATCCACAGAGAACACTGTAAACTGGAAGAAATCACCAAAAATCAAGGTGCTGAGGACAAGCACAGACTGCAGGGACTTTAGGGTGAAGTGTCAACTCTTCCCCAATCGTCAGTGGCTCCAGAGCCTGAAGGACAGACACACAACATGGCTTCTCCGTGGGAGGGCACCACACAGATGTGGCAGCATTTCATGCTAGGGACCGAGGGCATGGTATGTGTATGCATAGGGGTGTGTGGACATAGACACGTGGTTTTTTATTGTGACAAAAAATACATAGAATTTGCCACTTAGTCATTTGATGTATACAGTGGCACTCAATATATTCACTTTGTTGTTCGACCATCAGCACTCTCCATCCTTGGAACTTTTTCATTACCCCAAATTAAAATTCCAAGCCCAGGAAACACTAAGCCCTGCCCCTCCCCCCCACTTCTTGGTCTTGACACCCTCTGGTCTCCACCTATCTCCCTGAATTTGACTAACTGGGTATCTCCTGTAAGAGGAATTACACATTTATCTTTTTGTGACTGGCTGACTTCAGGGAGTGGAACATTCAAGGTTCATCCTTGGTGGGGCCTGTATCAGAATTTCATTTCTTGCTAAGGCTGAACGAAATCCACCCCATGTAAACATCATGCTTTCTTTCTCCGTTCCAAGGACATTTTCTATCACCAAGTTTACACTGTCAGGAGGACTGTATTTTCACTAGGTGTTGTGAGCTCCTTCCTCTGAATCGATTTCCTACTGTATTTCACATTCCTAATACATCAGTTAGCATGTATTCATTCATGATTTTCATTGGCTAGGGTTTCACATGCTTTTGCTCTTGATTGTCCAGACAATCACTAAGTCCTTGAAAGCAGAAACCTCATGTCTTATTGTCCACTCACTACCCACCCACCCCAACTTCTACCATGGTGCCTGTGGGCCACGCCTTGTTCGTGGTACAATACCTGCAACATGCGAGCCTTCCACAAATACTTCCAGAAATGAATGGAGAAGTGCTTAAAACACACCACTTCTTGACTCATGAAATGGGAAGCAGAGCTAAGGAGGCAAAACTCCCCTCTCTCCAAGGTAAAGCATTTTCAATCCTACTCTTATTACTGGCCTCACTCTGCACTTCAGCTTTTCAGAGAATGCAGCCTCCGAGGCTGAGACCTGGGCACAGGGGACAGCCGCCCTGTCCCTGTAGCTCACATTCCAAGGGAAGCGTGGGCAGACTCTTGCCACCAGAGGTCTTATGGAGGTCTGCTACTGTTACTTGAAAAAGCAATGTGGCTTCTCTAGTCCACTACGATGTATGATTTTCAACAGCCAAGTGTTTAACCCTGGCCATCCCCAGCTCAGTAGCTGGGATTTCAAGGAGCAGACCAGGAACCCAGGTTGTCTCGATACAATCTGACAGCAGATACGAATGCACTGGCCACACAGTATCTGAAAAGGGCCAGCAGTTCCTCCAGCATGAGATGAAAAACGAATTTGGAGTCTTGAAAAGCCAGGCACTAACTAAGTGACACTCCAAGAAGGACCTCTGTCCACTCGAGCCAGTGAGGGGTGACAGAGCAATGTGGGAGAAGGCTGGAGACCCCGGAGTAATCAGCCAATCAGAGTAGGCCTATAAATATCTGCTAGAGGCTCCAATGCCTGGGGGTGGGACTCTTGTCAGTGACACTTTTGTCTCTGGGGGTCGATGGAGAACTGGTCTTAAGACAAGGGTTAGGAGTTCCTTTTGTCAGGCAGCCTTAATAGGAGATACTCAGGAAAGGAAGGACACACACCATTTTAATAAATGTTGACTTCTGTCCAAGATATGTCTCTAGAGGTTTAGAAAGCATTCTTCACGTGAAATGACCATGGAGGGATCCCTTCCATCTGAGTTCTAGAAACCATCTTTTAAAAGCCTGTTTGAGAGCCAGCATTTAAAAAGTGTATCGAAGCCTGGCTTCAGGGGGACAGGGTCGTTCCTTCAGCCCTCTGGCTCTGCCCTGCACCATTTTCTCGAGATGATAGTAAATGCCCAGGCAAAATATAGCCTGGACTCTTCTGTTTAACCTCCAGCTCACAGCCCTTGTGGAGGCCTCAGGCCCAGACCAGTAAGCCACATTATTCATCAGGTCCACACGGACCCACTGCATTCCCCCAGAGGCCCCCAGAACATCCAGAGGGTCATCTTGAAGTTTTCTGAGCCTCCCATGGTCACTCCCAAGGGGCTCAGAGCTGACTGGTCTCTAAAGTTGCCTCTAAACCAAAGGTCTTTTTCAAACTGAGGGGTGACAGAGCTGCAGCTGGTGTGGGGCACAGAGTCCCAGGCCCACTGTCAGCTTCCAGGTTCTAGTTCCAGCTCTGGGTAGGCCCTCCCTCTCACCAAGACTGCTGGCTTCTGCCCTGGGTGCTCCCACCAGCCTAAGGAGGAGGAGCAGCTTCTCAGACCTCCAGCAACCTCCCTCCCAAGGGTCAATCAGAGCCTCTCTTCACCCTGGTCTGTTTCAACTTTCTTCTTCTAAGGCGCTCCCTTTTCGGCACCCAGAATTCCAGCCTCTGGGCCTTCCATGGGGCACACCAAATGGAAAAAAATCTACAGATGGCCATAGTGTTTTGAATTTCTAGAGCACTTGATTCTTGCACAAGTGCTCTTGATCCAGTGAACAAAAGGGAAGTGAGAAACGGGGTTGAGAGGCCGTCCAGGCAGACACCATCTTCAAGGTGGGCGCCCCTGTGTCGCCACTCCCTGCCAGATCCATCCCAGCTCTGGCTATCCCTTCTCCTCCCAGTGCCTGCAGCTGCAGCATGTGGGAGCAGACCTGGAAGCTCTAGCCGTGGAGGACGGCAGCCTGGCCATGGTGTGGACATAAATGGAAATGCAGCCACAATTCAGGGCTACTAGGGAGCCAGTGCCATACAGGGAAACTGGTAAACATGCTCCCTCCCCCATTTTCTCTGCTCACTGCCTTCTCTTCTCTGCTGGATGTCACACAGGCTTTGGAAAGCTCCGAGGAGGACTCACCTGCTGAATTCTACCTGTGATGTGGAACTTAGAAAACAGAAACCACCGCCAACAAAAATGCCTCTAACATATCATCATCATCATCATCACCGTCATCGTCAAACCCACAATCTCCCTATACTGAGAACAAAGACGTCTGGTCTGAACCGAGAAGGTTTCGGCCACCTACCACATCCGTGTTGGTGACCTTGGCCAGCAGATCTATCAGGGCGTCGCCAGTGAGTGAGCTCACGTCCTCATCCTGCTGCAGCCCGCAGATGGCGGCTCCCACACTTCCAGTTGCGATCATCGACGGGGGGTACATGGCGAACTTGAAGTCTGTGAGAACGAGAGGAAGGTCAGCACGCAAAGGCACTCGATGCAGGAGCATCCCAGCCGGAAGGTACTCAGAAACAGGGTGGCAAGAGTCAGCCACACAAAAGTGAGCCCTCCTCCTCCCGCCTCTCTCCAGCCCTGAGCAGAGACAAATCCAAGATGAGGTTCAACCCCCTCTTCTGCTTCCAGTTCTCCAAGGTCAGAAGGCTCAGTCTGGGAGCCCCAACACCTCAACTCCCTCTGAGCCCTCCCCCAAAGGGTCTGGGGACCAAGATCATCCACTGCTCCACCCATCCTGGAGACATCAAGGCACTGCTAACAGCTACCCACTCCACACAGCGCAGTGCTGTGCAGATCGCAGCCGCTCAGTTCACACCACACACCCCTAAGGCCACGGTTTCTCCTGGTGCGATGGGAGAGCCACCTGCCACTGCCTGTGCAGATTCATCATGTTAAAGAAGCTCGAGTTTCATCACTCATCCCACACCGTGCTGCCGTGGAGCGAACGCCCCACAGCGTACACCGTCTCTAGGGTTAGCACTGCACCAGTGAGTTCGCAGAGGAGGAAGGAGAAATAAATGGGGGGTGTAGAGGGAAGACATGGTTCCCCCCTCAAATCATAGCATGCATATTAGGTTGAACTTGCAAAAACAGTTCAATCTACTCTTTCCTTTTCTTCCTCCAAACGCCCAATTAGAACTACTGTTTCGTGGAAGACTTTCATTGGTGACCCCACTGTCCTACCTCAAGTCGGGGGTGTTTTTGGAGTCACCGTTGAATCACCAAAGCGTGCACCCTCCCATCTGGGCCAAACCCCAAGAACAGGCCTGGCTGTGTGTCGGTCGGTCTGTCCCTGGGATCTCTTCCCGTAGCCCAATAGCCATTTCCACCTCTCGAGGGACACTGGCGCTCCACCCACCGCCTGCTGTCCTCTCTCCCCTCCGAGCCTTTTCCAGCCTCATGGCTGGTGACAAAGTCGGCCTCCCTGCCCCCTGCTCTGCTGTAGGTCTCTTCCACATGAGGTCACAGGAGAGTGTTTCTCTGCCCAATAACCTTGTTAGCTTCCCCCTGTGACATTCATGCTGTAGATGAGGCAGCCAGCCCATGGCCCTGGGCCCATACAGGCCCTGGGTGGGAGCATCTGGCAGGGAAGGGCAGAAGAATGGCCTGGCCCTCCCTCCCCTCTGCCCCAGGCCTGACCAGGAAGCACACTCCCACATGCCTATCTTTGTTGTCCCGCTGCATGCAAAGCTAACTCCCATTTTTAGCAAATTAATTAATTTCTGGAAGCCAGGGAGTAGACATGGGTGGTCCTGGGGTGCAGCAGGTGCTACAATCACCCAGAAGGACTATGTGTGCTTCTCTTCTCGGGTCGCTAGGAAAATGCTGGGACAGCCTTCTGGGGACGCTGTCCCTTGCCCCCCCCCCCCCCCCGAAGCACAGAGCACTGTGTGAAAGGACATGGCTGCCTCTGGGCAGCTCAGAGGGTCACAGACTGGGCAGAGAGCACCAATAGCAAGAGAAGGGGTGCTGGAAGCCAGGCTGACCCCCCGTGCTACTCCTCTGCCACACACAGAGGCAGAGCAGCATCTTCCTTTAGCTGCCTCAGCTCAGCTCTCCTCTGGTTAATCAAAAGGAGGCGACATGAGCACTAAAAAGCCAGGGTCACACTGTGGGACCCTGGGAAAGTCACTGCCCCTCCTCCAAGCCCCTGGAGCTCCATTTGTGTAAAAGGGGTTGGGTCACAGCAGAGTTTTTCAAACTGCCAGTTGCAACTACTGATGAATCATGGGGGTTCCTCTGAAGGTCACGACCAGCATTTTGTTGTTGTTGTTGTTGTTGAAGTGAACAGAGTAAGATAGAAAGTATCTGGAAGGAATACAGACAGTGAGAGTAAATATTGCTCTGGGAAATTTTTGTATCAGCTTGATGTATGCGTAAGTGCATCTGGAGTTTGTTATAAAATGTAATTCTTCCTTCATGGTTTAGGTGAGTTTAGGTTGGCTAATCTCCCAGGTGGCTTCCAGCGCTAATTTGCTTTTACTTAAGGATCTAGAATGAGAGCAAATCCAAGGAAAAGAATAAGGGAGAGAGGAAGAGAACAAGGTCGATTTCCACAGGGCAGCAAAGTCACAGGTCATCTTTTCACACAGCATCAGGGGCTGCCCCGGGACCACTCTCAGGGACACCCCCTTTCTGCTGCAGGGAAAACAGATGTAGAATGAACCAGCCGAAGGGGCGCGTGCTTGTCCTGGCTCTAGCTGGCCGACCTCCACACTCAGCCATGGAAAGTTCCACCGAGCCCACTCAGCCATTCCTGGAAACTAAGATTTAGCTTTGGTTTGACACATGCTGTGATATCCACTTGGGCAAGGTGGGGAGGGGGTGGCAAAATTCATCAAACTTCATACATTGTACTATGTTCAAGTCACAGCTCTCCATTAACATATAAACACATGTGCACGCCGCTAGGTGGGTACATGGAAAATGCATGGAAATGCCCCTACCTTGAGGTGGGGGAAAGATGATTAATCTGTAAAATTTTAGTAATATTTTAGCAAAAAATAATCCCAGTAGGGCCTCCCTGGTGGCGCAAGGGGTTAAGCACCACACTATGATGAAGTTATCCGAAGCCTCTGCAGCACGGAGTTCGATCCCCGGCCAGCCAGGGAGCTACCCACATGGCGAGGCAGACCTCTCCTGTCTCGCCTGCGGCTCCCCTCAGCAGTGTGTTTCAGTCAGTCTGCCTGTTCTGTTTCCCACTTTGTCTCTGGTGAATCCTCTCACCCCCGCACCTCTGGCCTGTACCCCAGCTCTTGTACGCATAAATAAATAAATCTTAAAAAAAAAAAAAACCCAGTAAAAACCTATCAGAGACAGCTCAGTCTCTCGGTCACAAATGCAACAAGCTGTAGGTGCAGAAGGCATCCTGGGGGCGAGGGTCTCTCTCCACCTTGGATTGGCCCCCTACAGAAGCGAGATGTCCACTGAGACCCCTCCTTCTCCCAGAGGAGAGAGACAGTTAACTGAGCAGCGAGCCATCCTGATTCCTTCCAAGATGTGAAATGTAGAAACACAACAGCACTGTATTCTACATGGCGAGGTGCATGCTACACGGGGGACTTCCAGAGAGACTTCTCACCAGAAAGAAGGTGCTCAAGGGGATAGCACAGGCATGCCACTTAAGGGGACTCTCCAAGAACAAGGGGAGTATTTGGGCTGTACAGTCAAGACCCTTCAAAAACTGAGAGGAGAGTAGGGAGGCTGTTGTCTCCCTCACCCACGGTGTGGAGACGGGCAGGGTACCAGGCCTCTCTGAGTCTCTGTCTTCTCACCTGCTAGTGAGGATAATAATGCCACTCGGCTCAGAGGGTTGTTCTGAGGATTTAACTAGAATAGCCTGCATAGATGCATAGGCCCAGCTCAGGCCAGCCACCAATGTCAGGCGCTACTGTCATCCTGGCTGTCACCACCAGACTCCCACTGGGATGTCCTGTGGGATCGTGATGGGCAATTCTGACTTGGAGACTGTGCTCAGCACCTGCAGGGGTAAAGAGAAAGGCACCTGGCAGCCCTGAGCTACATGCAGATGCTGAGGCCAGGCTGAGTGAGGGCTTGGTGTTGCCTGCAGAACCTTTCAGCGTCAGGGTGCTATGTCCTACACATCACCTCATCCAGTCTCCAGAGTGAGGCTTCTGCTGCCTTGTCAGGAATGGGGAGCGAGCACCCATAGGGAATGGGAGAGGTTACAAGCATACAAGGAAGGAAAGAGGATGCCAATCTTCTTCCCAGTGCACCCCACTTCTCTCTCAGGGACAAGAATAATGACCATGTTCCAGAAGCCTCTGACATGACTTCCTCCCTCCTGGTGAAGTGGGAGAGGCCAGCTGCACCCAGGGGAGTCCCAGGCTTGGGATTGATCATCCATGAGGCAATGATCCAACTGAGAGATGACACAGTGACTCAGAAGAGTGAGCCCTGGCTCAGGAGGCAAAGGTTTGGACACCAGACCGGCCATGGCACCAGTGAGTTGTGTGGCCCTGCACAAGATGCCATAGGCGCTCCTTACTCTAGGCCAGGGCCATCATCATCATCATCAACTTGGTGACTGTGCTGCTTGGTGAGACTTCCCATTAGAAAGAGTTCTCAGCGAAATCAGTGGTTATTTGGTCCTGCACAGTGAGGTCAGCGCTGACTGTTTTGGCTACATGGCTAGGCCTTCAAGTGCAAGAACATGTGCTCTGCTTTTGTCCACCACTAGGGGGCGAGATACTTGCTCTGAGGCTGAAAACAGGGAAGCCTGATGGCCACCCATCTCCCCTCTCCAACCTGCTATCAGGAGGAATTTTAACAGGCTGACAGACAGAGGGCTCACTGGCTAGCCAACGACGCTGGCAGCACACACCTCCTCTGCCACCCCGAGAATAAGTTCAGCAGCCCCTGTCTCCATGGGGCAGGCAAGCCAGACCAGCTAAGAAGCCTGAACTCCAAAGGCCTGGGTGGGAGGGAGATCCCAGGGAGGAGGCAGCAGGCGGCCCCTCATTCAGCTCACAGCCAGAAGGGAAGTAAGATAGCTGTCCTCACACAGGCACTCACAGAAGAACTGAGACCAGGCTAAACAGCTACTTCCCCTCAGTCCTGTGACCTCGCCTCCTTGCAGGCGGCCCAGAGGCTCATGGATGGAAAGGTAGGTTTCGATTCTTCCTTCCTGGCAACCACCAAAGCAAAGCCCCTTTCTGGATCAAGGGCCAGCCTCTGCGCTCTCCAGGGCCCACCTGGGGTGGACTGCCATGAAGCATCGCCAGGAAAAGCCCCGAGAACTGGGTGAGCACTGGGTTAGCAACCCCAGGCTCAGGCCGACCATGCACAGAGAACCCACACAGCCTCTTAAGGTGGGGCTCCTGCTGCAAAATGAGGGAGATTTGGGGTGCGGTGGGTGGAAAGGTAAAGCGCCTCCTCCTTACCAAGTGCAAACTCAATGCCTAGAGGAACTCAAACTCCTCTAGACTAACTGGAATCATCTGCTGGGCATGATATCATATGTCAAGAATCTCCCCAGGCCGGGGTGCGAGCTTGAATCATCACAAATGGTCCTTTCCTCATTGGCTAATGTGGGGGAAGTTCCTACCATCAGAGCTACAACCAGGGCGCTCTAAGGCTTGGTGTGCTTGCACGGGATCCAATTTCTAGGAGGGGGAACGTAAGGAGCTGGTTGTCATAAAGATGTTCTGCCCACCCCACCCCCACCCATCCCCCACACCTCCACCCATCCCCCACACCTCCTTTAACCGGGACCAGCCTAAAGAGGGATCCCTGGCAGTCTGAGGCAGTCTCTACCTCAGAAGCCATTTTGGGCTGAGAAGGAGGGCACCTCTCTGTCATGCTACCGTCTTACCCGAGTGCTGCCCTTTCCTCAGGCCCCCAGGCTCCCCTGGTCTCTCGTCCCCTTTCACACACACATACGCTCTCCACACAGGCTGCACAACTCCTGCCAGCTCTTTCACAACCAGTTTTCCCCATGAACTAGCCACACAGCCTGAGGCTGGTGATCGTCTCCTCAGATCCCCGTGGGCTTCCCAGACCCCGGCTGCAGGTGCTTATCTAGCTCCTGGACAGGAGAGAGGGGTTGGGGGGAAAGAGGCCGAGGTGCAAAGGCCAGAAGAGAAGGACCGGACACTGCCTGGAGTGGCACACCCCAAGGCCTCTGTGCTTGCAAGGTGGATGTGAGAGGGTCCTCGCCTACTAGGTGCAGCCTGGCCCGGGATCGTGGATTCCCATTGCACTGGAAGGTGTGTCCTCCTGGAGCGATTACTTTTACATGGTCAGGCTGGTGCACATTCAGGTGGTGGGGATTCTATGAGACTCAGTTACTCACGCCAAGCTCAGATGAGGGTAAGATGTATCCCCGAGGTAAGTCCAGCTTTTCTAAAGGCAGGAGGAAATCTACAAGGAGCTCTCCCTGCTCTGACCGCCATGGCTGCCGTGCTTTTCATTGGACTGGAAAGGTCCTTTCTCCTGCGCTTCCTACCGCCCTGCCCAAAGTGTGTGCGGGACTCCCGAAGACCGTCTTCACGACTTCCTCTGCCTCCCCCTTGGGCCTCTATCCTCAGTCTCTGAATCCCAAGCTCCCCACTCTGGCCTCAAAGTTGGCAGCTACCCCAAGGATCTGGGCAAGAAGGCCAGGAATGGGGGATGGGATCCCCAGTTTTAGAGAATGAGTCTTTACAGAATCTGGGGAGTTGCCCATGCCACAGTAATTCCACCTTCCACCCTTACCCCAATCAGAGACTAGAGAGGTGGAATGGGTGGGCAGACCCCAAAAGACCTATCAGTCAGGAGACTAGGTGAAAGCAGGATTCTGCCTCTCAGCAGCTGGGCACTGGGGGAGCAGAGAGCTGGGGGTCAGCTTGGAGGCCCCGGGAAGAAAGGACTGGTTGACCCCTCCCCCACAGTGAATCCTGACAATGGCGAGCAAAGGGACAGTCAGACCTGGGAGACAAAATGGTCAGTCAGTAAGGGGCTGACCTCCAGAGCCCAGGCCAGACAGCAGGGCAAGGGAAGGTAGCATAAGAATGGCTGGTGTCTGAAAGGCAGCACCCACAGGGCACTGAAGAACGGTCCCCTAGGGCTGCACACGGAGAGACACAGGGCAGACAAGGCGCCATGAGGCTGGACTGCATCTGGAGGGGCAGGACTAAAAAAAACCAGTCAGAGGAAATCCAGACCCTGGAATCAATGGGGGGCAGCTTGTGGAATCCCACATTCAAGCAGGTCAGGCAGAGGAGGGGTCCTGCTGGAGCTGAAGGAGGGCTCTGTTCAAGTTCACTTAGCTGAGTGGGGGGGTTTAACATTTTCACCATCAGTGCTGACTTCTTCCTGGTACATCATCTTTTTCTGATTTTCATTTCCCTGCCTACTCTGAAAAGGCCGTGAGGTCAGGCATCCACAGGGGGTGTTTCGCAGACAAAGAAGCTGAGGGTCAGAGAGGTTAGGCAGTCTATCCCGGGTCACCGGGAGACACAGCCAAGCCTGACCTTCTGACCGAGAGCAGGAAGCACATACACTCTGTATCTGCACATACACAGGAATAACATGTAGCAAGTTATTCAAAAAAGTGAACCCCTCGGAGCACCTGTCTATCTTGCATCTTGCAAACGAGCTAAACTCTTGGCTTTGCACAAACAATTCTTTACCTGCCCCCGCAGACTGTGAAAATAGGAACTCCTGAGGTCTCTCCCCTGGACATGCGGTCCCAGGGTCTCTCCCAGGGTTATCGCCAGGAAGCGAATAGGAACTGGCCAAAGGTAAGTTTCTTGAGACAGTATCAAAGCAAATGGGCTCATACAAGAACTATGTATGAACTGTGGGGTCAGCAGGGTGGATGAAAGCCTCCCTGCTGCTAAGTTTAGGGTGGCAAAAGGCACGGGAAGAGAGCAGCAGAAGCCGGGGGTAGGAAGGGCGGTCCTGCAGAAAGGCAGGCAGGCCCACACCCCCACCCCCACCCCATCACCCACAGAGGCAACAGCTAGAAGGCAATAAATGCCCGACAGTGAAAAGAATTCCTTTGGTCTCCCTTCCCACTTATCAGGACTGATGGTGTATTTATCTTGACAGTGTTCCTTTAACCTGATTCGTCCCCACCCCTTAAATTTCCTCCTGGGCTTATCTCCAAGTCATCCTTTTCCTCAAAAGATTAAAGATTTAAACACAACCAGAGAGCAGCACGTATAATCTTCAAAGAGCACTTCAGACATCATAAAGAATATTTTACAGGCGCTATTTTTTTGCCCTCACCACACCGCCACACCTGTCCTCATAAACCACTTACGAGGTTAGCGAGAGCATATACCAGCTCAGGTTAAGAAAAACATCCCAGAAATGAAATCCTGGGTCTGTGGATGAATCGGGGCCGCCCCTCCCCCACACACCGGGGCCCAGAGGTGAGTACCCCATTTGGGCCCTCCCCAGCAGCTCCCCCCACCACCCCAGGGCTCCTTGGCAGTGAGTGCCCCCTCCCGGTGCCCGGCTGCTCCTACCGGTGGCACACAGCGCAATGAAGGTCTGCGCGTGCTTGCGGATCAGAGGCAACTTCTCGTTGGGCTGGGGCAGCTTGCGGAGGATATGCTCGATGAAGTCGTGGGGTGTGACGGCCGCCAGGTTCCACTTCAACTTGCCCAGCACCACCAGCTCCCACTCCTGGTACGGAAAGGAGAAGGCCAGAGTGAAAAACCCGAAGGCTGACCAGGCTTCGGGGGGCTGGGATCAGCCCCATTTTAATGATGCTCATTAGGGCGCTGCTGGATGATGGCAAGGCGGGCCCATTTGTCAGGGAGCTCCTAAAGCTTTGAAGTTGTTGACGGCTCTTCTTAGGCTTCCAGTGTCAGGCTCCACTGAAAATAATGAGAGCCCAGGTAGCGGGTGCCAAGATTCCACTTCGTTCTACTTCTTTTACTCTCCAGTGCTCCCACCCCCACCCCAGCCTGCCTGCCTTGCGGTGTGGATGCCCGCCCACCCAGAGAGCTGAACCCACAAAAAGATACTGCCAGGGTCACGGCGGCCCTTTGCTAGTGATTTATTGTGTCCGTCTGTATCGCTGGATTAATAGTCTTTTTTCCGACCTCATGGAAAAATGATGCACACAGATAAAGCTCAAAATAAGGCTCCTTGGCCCGACTCCATGGCAACCAATTAGCTTGCTTGTAGTTGGCGCCAGGAAGTGCCATTTTTCTCGCTGCTGTTAAAACTGTCCCCTGGATACATCGTGGAGAAATCTTGGGGAAATGACAGCCACGGGGGACCCTTTCGCTTAAGTGTTTCACAGCCCTTTGTCATCAAGACTGAGGGCCGGGGTGGCCATCAGTGACCCCCGTGTGCAGCCGGATGGGATTGGGGTCAAAGCGTGGTTAGATTCCCTCCGTCTAAATGCGAGGACTCCCTCTTTTGCACCTCCCATCCTCAGCCTACCCAGTGAAAAACCCGGTTTCTCTCCCTTATTGGGGAACTTTGGAGGGAGGTCTGTACTCTGTACTCAACGGGAGATAAGTCAAAAAGAAAACCTTAGAATATGTGGAATCTGAGGGATTTTCCCATGAATTACCGTAAGACTGCGAGAAAGAGACGAGATTGCCAGTGCACCCCACTGTCCCAGTGACTCTAAGAAGCCTGACTGCATTTGCCACCAGGGCCCCAGCCCCCCCTGGCCTGAGTGCCGTGTGGTAAGGTGCTTGTGGAGTGATTTCCTTCCCTCCTTGGGGGCCTTTCTCACCAGTAAAATCAGGTAACTCCTCTAGAGCCCTCCTTCTAGATACAGGAGGGATAAAGACACTGGGAATGGGAAAATGGCAGGTCTGTTTGGAGCTTGTGTGTTCTGGAAATATTGGGGTGTCCTTAAGAAAACTTGAGATCACCATTACATTAAACCCAATGAATCAAATGTAAGATTATTTTCCCTGGTCCCCCATGAGAAGAACAAAGCAGTTCCCAAATCTAACATTTTCTTCTTTACAAGCTTTAAAATCGGCCTCTGGCTCTTGACAATAAGTTGGAGTAAAATAGAATGTTCTAAGACGTCTTGAAATTCCAGCTCTTCCTTCTCCAAAGGGAATGTGAATTTAAACCACTCTTTTGGTACCATTATTAAAGGGAGCAGATCTCCCAGAAGAAAGCACCTATCTGGGCCTCTCGGACCAAACCAGAAGCAGCTGAAATCTGGCAGCGGTTCAAAGGTGAAGTCATTCAGGCCCCTCTGTACATTCTCACAAGTCCGCCCCCATCCTTGCACATGTCTGCCACTAGGTGGCAGCACAGCCCCAGAAAGGAAGGCCTCTTACAAAGAGCTCAGTTCCAGCAGCCAGTCTCAGCCCCTGGACTTTGTGCAGGCCTTGCCAGTAAGGAGGGGGAGGAGGCGGTAAGAATGGGGCCCCTTTTCTAAACAGGGCGGAGAAAGGTGTGCGGACCACTGAGGGTGGGCCTCAGAGCCGCTCTGCCATTCCAGTGCTGCTACAACGTGGACATCTTAAGTGGGAAGCTGTGCAGGGAAAGAGAGTTAGATTGGGTGGGAAACGGGGGCCTGCAGGGAAATCAGTCAGCACAGGACCCCTGTGGTGGGAGAGGCCAGCACCCCACTTAAGTAGGTGCCCAAGCCTGAGACTCCTCCAATAAAGGGTCACACTTCCACTTTGTGCCAAAGTGAATGAGCTGATAGTTTGCAAACAGCTACTCTGTGCCGGTATCCGAAGACTTTGCAGATATACGAGGCTGCCTTTGAACCTGGGGGTTTTAGGAGAAATAAATACCCCACATGTTCCTATAATGTGAGAAGTCAGACTATTTTCTCAGAATGCAATGACTGGAAATTTGGAATTGAATTAGATGTCTGTGTTTCCTGCCTCCCTACACATGTGCACGTGCACATGCAGCCAGAAAAGATCTTACCGGTGCTGACTCCAGGAGGGTCTTCTTCATGGACTGACCTCTGCTCTGTCTGTGCTTAGCACAGTGTAGGGCACGCAGTAGGAATGCAGTCTCATATCAAAAGAGGTATCTCCCCCCTAAGTGTGAGGATTCCAGTGCTGGGGACTTTCAGAAGCTAAGAATTTGTTTTGGGTGCAGTGGGCAGAACCCCATTAACCCAGAGCCCAGAGGGGAGAGAAGAGAGAGAGACAGGGAAGGTCATTCATTACCAGCAGCTCCTGGGGCTTGATGGAATTGTCGGTGTAAATGCACAACTTCTCAGCCGTCAGGGGGATGGTCTCTTTGAGCTTGGAGGCCAGGAACATGCAGACAGCACCCAGGAGCTGCAGGTGGGTCTTTGGAGTCGGGACTCCAGCCAAGAAGCGGTCCAGGTAATTCATGGCCAGAGAGAAGACCTCCTCTTCACACTTCTGCTCCTCACACACCTACATCGGGAGTGGGACAAAGTTGGGGGGGGGGGCGGGGAGAGTAGAAAATAGTATCAGGAAAAGAGGGGAAAATGGAAAAAAAAAAAGTAATGTCTGCAAACAAAAATTATTTACCATTTTCAGTGGGGAAGAGGAGCAGGATATACGACAAAAATAAAGATGAGGAAATGGGAGTAAATCTAAATAGCCCATCCGTGCTTGGGTAGGGCTCACTGGCCTAAAAAAAACGGGGTGCATTAAAAATCCCAAGCTGGGAGGCGGGGAGTGTCCAAGGAACGCTCGGCGGCGGCCGGCGGCCCGCGACGCTCCCTGTGGCTGCGCGTTTCTCTGCTCGCTCCAACTCACTCACCCTCTTTTTTGGATTTCGTCATCTTTTCAAAAAATCAATAAAAATATTCTGGAGGCTCCGGGGGGCTCCTTCTTGGACCCATCCGACCCCCAGGCCCTGCTCTATCATTCCCGACAATTGGAAAAATTGTCCGGGGGGTCCCCGCGGCCCCAGCGCCGCCGACGGGCGGGTGGGTGGGGAGAGGTGGGGACTGGGGGGGGCGGGGGAGCCCGCGGAGGCTGGAGCCGCGGCTCGGGCGGCTGGAGTCGGAGCTGGGGGGAGCGTTTTCAAAAAATAATTAAAAATCGAGGAAATATCCTAGAAAAGCCCTTTTGGCATGAAAACCCCGAAGAGGATCCAGGCTTCCCGAAACGCGGGTTTCGGGTGCCGGAAAGGTCTGCGGGGCGGCTGCCGGGGCTCCGGATCCCGAGGGGAAACCTGAAGGGGCGAGCGCCACGGCGGGCGCGTCCGGCTGCGGCCCACAAGGGCAGGAACCGGGGGACGCGAGGACCAGCCGGGGGCAAGACGAGGAGCGGGGAGTCTCCGGGGAGAGGCACAGGGGACTCTGACCTCTCCTTTAGGGGTGCCCCAGTATACCCCCCTCCCTACACACACCTCCCCACCCCCCCTTCCTACCCCACCCAAATCTCCGCACCGAGGAAAGTGGAAAGTCAAACTGTAAGTAACCCTCGTGAGCTGGGGGGCGCGGGCGAGGGCTCTAGGAGAAGTGGGGTGGTTGGGGTACTTGTGTGCGAGGGGGAGCTGGAGACGTTTTCCAGCCTTTCCACCCCGAGTTTGCAAAGCAACATGGCGAAACCACGGCAGGTCCGGAGCTGTGCATACGTGGGCACACATGGCTTGCTCCGCAAGGATTGGGAGCGAGGGTACAGAGGGGTTCTTTTGGGTTCCCCTAAAACACACGTTTCTTCATGGTGACTTCCGGGGCTCCTGAATTCCCCGTTTCTCTCCACCCGCCCCCCTCCACCCGCCCCCCCCTCCCCCTTTAAGTGCCAACGCGGAGTCGCGACCACATGCGGGGACTTGAGGCTGGGGCGGTTTGGCGCTGGCCTTGGGGGGGGGGGGGGGGCTGCTCTTCTACTTGTCGCCCGATTTCACGCTCCTCCTGCCTTCTCCACCGCACGAAAGCAGCCCCGGCTTTGCAAGAGACAGGTCCGGATGGGGGTGGGAAGAGGCAGCCACATGCAGGCACACGCGCGCGGGCTGCTCCCCACCCCCGCCCCAGGACAGTCTCTTTGCCCCCCGATTTTCCTCACCCTCTTCTCCCCCGGCCCCCCAGTTCATTACGCATCCTGCCAAGGAGCAGAAATGAGCCACGCGTCTCGCCAAAGGGCGCGGGGAACCCTAGCGCACGGGAGCCGAGAGGCGGGCGCGGAGGTTGTCCTCGCCCAGTTTTAGGGTCCCTGCGTGGCGGGGCGGGGGAGGGGAGAATCCGGGGGGGGCGGACGGAGCGGCCGTCTGCAGACCTACCTCCAGCATCCAGGTGGCCACCATCCTGCGCATGTAGGGCTGGATGTCCTTTTGCACGCATTTGAAGTAGGAGCACTGGGGAAGGTAGCGCTCCTCGATCGTGAGCAGATTCTGCAAAACGCGGTCGTCGTGGAGCAGGTTGGCGTCCCGCACGGCCCTGCGCACCGGGTCGACCTCGCAGCACAGCAGCTCCATGGCCAGCCGGGTGCCCGCTCGGTCCCCTACTTTTCTCCGGGCTGGAAAAGTTTTTTTTGGGGGGGAGGGGGGAGGGGTAGTGTTCCCCCTACCGCCTTCCTTTGGCTAATGAGGGGGGTTGGGGGAAAAGTTTTAAGGCCGGAGAGAGAAGTTGGAGCAGAAGAGAGGAGAGGGGTGGGCGGCGGGAGAGAAGCGCCTCGGGGGCTGCTCGCTCGGCCTGCCCGCCCCGTGGAGCCGGGCTCGCTCTCTCCAGCCTGCTCTCCGCTCTGCTCGCCGAGGCAGTGACGCAAACTAGCTGGGCAGTTAGTTCTCCACCCTCCAGCCTCGCTCCCCGCGCTGGTTCCTCCCCCCTCCCGCCCCTCCCGCCCCTCCCCTCCTCCTTTCAATCTCTCCCGCCCGCCCGCCTCTCCCCTCTTGTTATTAAGGAGAACAGCAGCTGGCCCGAACTAACTTCAAACGCGGCCCCCCGCCCCCCCGGCCCGCTCCCAGCCCGCCGAGGCCCTCTCGCTCCATCCAGCCCCGCATGCCAGGGGCCCCGGATAGGGGAACCCACAAAAAAAACGCCACCGATTTCTCTTTATTCCCTCGAATCTTGCGCATTCTGCACGCGTATCGCGCCAAGATCCCCCCCCCCCACCAGCCACCACCACCACCCACTTCGGCTTCTACCAAACTGATGATGACGCTCCTGCCCATCTATTTTAATAGATTCAGAAATGACAGCAATGACGGATGGGGTGAGCTCAGTCCGTTTGGAAACAAATCCCTTAAGTGAAAAATAATCAGGGCGATCTTAGAGAATAGCAACCTCGCGGACGCAGGGTGAGAAAGGTTCTGGCTCTGAAATTTGTTTCTGATCATTCAGAAGTTGTTGCAAAAGCCCCTTTAAAGGGACCACAGCGAGTCCCCCCACCCCCGGCGCGTCCCCTGCAGATGTGTGGGGAGGAAGAGGTGGAAGGGTGGGTGTCGGGGGGGCGGGGGAGGCTTCCCGACGGGATAGAATGTGACCCTGGAGGAGGAACCAACCTATTCTTGGGGGCGCCACCGGCGCCATTGGGAGGCGCAGCGAGGCGCCCGGGGCTGCCGCAGGCCGGGGGTAGGGCTGCCAGCGGTTCCTCCGCGGCCAGTGGCCACGCAGGAAAAACCCGCTTCCTCGCCCTCGCATCTGCTGACAGGCGGGCCGAGGTGTCTGCTCCGAGCGTGGCCACACTGATACAGCTTTCTAGGAAATAGCCGGGGAGGGGGGAGGGGGGCGAAGGAACGACTCGGCTTGGCTCCCTTTCGCTCCCCCTGCGCAAACTGCACCACCCCTTCCTTGCCTCCGAGGCCCGAGACTTCCCCCCTCGGCCCCCCGCCTGCATCCTCGTCGACCTCTCGGGGTTCACGCCTCCCTCCCTCACCAGCCAGGGCTTTCTGCCCGGCAGCGGGCGCGCGGTGGGGACGCCGCCTGCGCGGTCGGCTCTGACATGTGCTCCAATGCATCCTCGGGTCAAGGTTGCTATTCCAGGGGACACGGTGGCCTTTCCTCACCTCCTTCCTCCCGCCACCCCCCACCCGGCCGATCGGGGCGATTTCACTTTCAGAGGAAGGGGCGCGAGCCCGGAGCCCCCCGCGCGCGGGCGAGCTGGCACGTGCGCCGAGCATGGCGCGCACACCCTGCGGACACTCGGAGGTCGGGCGCGTCCCTCCTGCACCGAGAAAGGAGGTCCGGACGCGGGCCCCGGGAGCAAGAGGGTGCATGGGGGGCGACGGAAGAGTGAGCTGTTCACTGCGCTCCCAGCGATGGTGGGGGGGTGCACTAGAGAATGTGGGGAGCGAATAAAACCTGAGGTGCAAGCGATTAACGCAGGCAGGGCCAGCCCCTTTAAACGAGGGTGGGGCGGAAGGGGTGGGGGGGATATCGCTTTAAAAGGGTGAGTAAGAGTTTGGGGCGCCGTCTCCCCTCCCTCTATTTGCATAGCCAATAGCTCTGAGGCTCCTGCTACTGCGCGCTGATTGTTACCGGGCAGATTAGTTTTTTTTTTTCTTCTAGTAGGACGCCGGCCCCGCTACATCAAAAGGAAGCCAAGGGAGGCGGAGGGAGAGCCGGGCCTGGGGCGGGCGAGGGCTGGGGAGCGGCCCGGGCGCCTCCGACCTTATCTGTAGCCGCGGGAATTGGGATCCAATCTACTGTATGTAAAGCGAGGGGAGGGGAGGGCAGGGGCGGGCGAGGAAAATGCCTAATTGCTGTGGAAGCCATTAGCTTTCGGGAGGAGGAAAAGCTCGCTGCAAACCCCAAGTTGGAAACTCAAAATGAAACAGTCCCGCGCAGCCCGTGACAAACGGGGTGCAGCGTCCCTCCGAGGAGTCCCCCGGCACCCGCTCCTGTTGATTCTAGTCCAGATGGACTTCCCGACCCAAGCGTTGGAGCCACTCGGGGTCCATCCATCCATGAACTTGCATTTTAAGACCCCATAAATGAATTACGCATACTAAGACTCAGCCACCTTAGAGGGGATCAAAGAAAACTGAGGGGTTGGGGGGGGGCAGTAGGCACGAGGGAGGTATTTTTAAAATAGAAATCTATCCCGATGAGCAAGGACAGAAGCCGGCGAGGGCTTCCAGCCTCTGACATCACTTGATAACTCCCCGAGCACGGTCTTTTTCCATCTCCCTGCAGGGAAAGCGTCCAGAGCTGAGTCTCCCGCTGTGGGAAAAGCGAGCAGGGCGTCGGGAGGAGGCGGGGGGGTCGTCCTCCAGGCCTCGCCCACCCTGGGGAGAAAGCTTGGGTGGCGGGCCCTCTTGCTCCCTTCCCCCTTCCCTCCAACCCCCCCCTCCATCCCCCTCCACCCCCACCCCTGCGCTGTACCCCGGTCTTGCTTGACACCGAAATTCCGGAGGGGAGAGGTGGCCCTCGAAGGGGAGGGGGACACAGGGCTGGGGGCGGACGCCCCCCTCTCGCCGCCGTGCGCTTCATTCACTGAGACCCCCTGAATTCGGAAGCTTCGCGCGTGGCCGGCTCGCCCCTTTTAGTTCCCCCATTCACTTCCCCTTCCTATTACGGGCTGTTCCCTAACATTAACTTCGTCTCGAGTCCGTCCCCCAGTCGGTTTTCAGTCTCCAGCACACGGGGTGGGGCGTGAGTGGGTGCGGAGGTTGGCAGGAATGTCTCGGGGAGGCTTGGGCTGGAAACTGAGTTTTCCCTGTTGGTGACCGCTCCGACCATGTGCGCAAGCCTTAGTTTTGCTTGTTCAAAAGCGCTCCGCCTAGCACGCGGGAAAAGGCACGTTGCCTTCTGCACAAACGTGTGCATTTTCTTGGGATGTAGGTTGAGGGAAAAAGCCCACGCCCCTGCGCTTTGGACTTTAAAGTCAAAGCTGGTCACTCTGGAAGGAAAAAAATAAAACAATGTTGGTGCTTCCTTATCCCTTTTTCACCCTTAGGGGAAAAAAATATATATTATTTATTACACACACATATCCATATCCTGTCCTTTGTAGGATCAGTGATAAACTTTAGCAAAGGCAAGTTTTATTGGATTTTTATTCCCTCCTTGTCAGCTCCCCACCCCCTACTCCTCTCGTTTTGGAGTTTCGGTTGGAAAGTGTACAAAACCCTGTAGGTGTAGGGTGCAGCCGGGTGTTGGGTGTTTATAGGCATATTTCTGCAGAAACCTGCAACGCTAAGCACACATGCTCCTAAGCTCACCTGGCGTGTGCCTGGCCGGCCAGGTGATCGCGCTACGCGCTCAGAGAGCCTGGAGCCACATGAGTTCGAGTCCCATTGGCTCCGCTAACCCGCTATCCAGCCGAAGGGGGGGAGGGGAGTGTGTTCAGACTCAGGAAGGAGAGCCTTCGCCCTTTCACCCCCCTCCCCCCAAAATTAGAGCTATGTCTGTACCTCCATGGAGGAATGGACGGTCGGGTTATCAAGTTCCCAAACCCGACGTTTTTTAAAAGTGGATGGTGAGGGGTCCCTGTCTCGGCTCCGGGCTCTCCGAGAACCGGGGAAGGCACTACAGGGGGTGCAGAAAAAAGAACTGGTAGGTTAAAGGACGGGCTTAAACACAGATGAGAAAAATGTGCGCGAGGGTGAGGTCGGGGACTGGCGAGCCCAGGGGACGTCGGGGAAAAGCCGTCGCGAGGATCCCCGAAGGCCGGGGCAGCGCGACTGCAGGTGTGCATCGCCTTCCGAGACCCCCTCCCCGCCACCCACCCCCGCCCGCCCGCCCGCCGCGCCCCGGGGTGCTGGCGATCCAGGGGGGCCGTGTCGGGCCGGCCTGGGTGTTCCAACTGCGCCTTCGGTGTGTTTCGGCTGGGACCGGGGCTGGCTCCTGCGGCAGCAGATGCTGCAGGCGTGGATGAGCCAGGCCAGCGCCTGCCGTCTGTTCACCCACCTAGCCTCTCTCTCCCCCCACCCAGCCCCCTTGGAAAAGAAATAAAAAAATAAAAAGACCCGAACTTCCCCCTCTTCCTGTCTGATTCAGCTGCAGGACACGCCTCACGCGGCCGAAAATAGCTCTGGAAATGCACTCGCTTTATTAAAGTGAATTCTTCCTCCAGGATTTGGGGAGGGGGCGTCGGGCCCGGGGCGGCGGCGGGGCCCGGCCTCGGGGGGGGAAGGCACCGGCCCGCCCGGCCCGCGCCCCCCCCAGGCGCCCCCGGGAGGGGGCCGCGGGGCGGCGGAATCGCGCCTCTGCACCGGGAGCCACCACGCGGCTTTTTCGCGGAATTTTGACGTCACCCACACGTGGGGGAAGGGGCTGGGTGAGCAGAGGAAGCGGCGGGGGAGGGGGCCGCGGGCGGGGCGCGGCGGCGGCGTGTCCGGCTCTGCGCGGGGGGCGCACGCGGCGCCGGTGCCCGCGGCCTCCAGGAGGGTGTGCGCGCGGCCCGGAGCCGCGGGGCGCCCCCCCTGCCCGACCCCCCCCCATGCCTCGCCCTCCCCCCGCCCTCGGCCACCCCCGCGCAGTTTATTTTTTCACTTTGCAGGCGGGCGCCGCTCTCGGCTCCGGAAAAAGCCGATTTCTTGGGGTTGTGGTCCGGTTCCGCCGCTGTCGGCGTCAGGTCGGGCTGAATATCGTGATTCGGGTCGCGACGCCCAGCCGCGGAGCCCGCTGCGCTCCCTCCAGGGCAGGGCAGGCGCCTGAGTGTTCTGTTCCTCCGGCGATGATTCTGCATGCACTTTTGCACCAGGAGTTTCCACGCGCGACCTGTTCCTCCCCGACCCCCCCCCCCCCGCTTCTTCGGGCGCTGTTTAAATCCCAGCAGGGCTGGTGGGTGAGCTGGTGATTAGCTGTGAGGTC